GCTTTGTCCTTCTGACGCCAGCTGTTATAAACCCTGCACTTTATACCAAGGGCACGTCAGACACATCCCAAATCCCTTTTTGTAGCAGTTAGTGACTCTAGGTCCAGCTCACAAGCTGCACTGAGTTTGGCTCCTATTAAGACAATCCACAACTGTGACCAAAAAAAGTGTTTCATTGCATCTTAGCTAAAAAACTAGAACCAATGGAAAGGAACAAAGCAAGGGTGGCTTATGGGTCCTCTTGACTACAGCAGTGTCCCTGTTTGTAAGCATTTCCACTGCCATCAGGAGACGTAGGAGTGGGTTCTCTCTGCTGTTCCAGAGGTGAAAACACCTTAAGCAGCAAAACATCCAGGCTGTTAATGGGTGTTTAACTTCCTTAAGAAAAAATGTGCTTCATGGCAGAGAAGATGAATGTTCCTAGATAAGGATCATTTGGAGGTCCTTACCCTTGCAATATGGGGCACTTCTGCTCAGACCCAACACACTCAGGACCACATCCTGATCATTCTTGAGTTAGCAGCAGGCACAGAGAACAGCTCGGATCTGTTCCACCTGGGGAAATGACCGCTCCTGCTGTAGAAAATACCAAGTGTGTTACATCAATTACCTTTCCCTGTTAAGAGATTGATGCCAAAGGGCTCATATGGTCTAAATTAGGCCATATGACCAGTCAGTGGAGTTTGTGGGTCTGGATTGTTTTGGGGTTTTTTTTAAATTTTATTTTATTTTCAGTAGTGTGGCTCAGTGTCTTATTTATAGTTGCTAGGCAAGAGTTTTCAAATGGCAGTGACACTATCAAGTTTGGAGTAATAGGGACAATACCGGTAGAAAATGCAGACTCTTTCAGTAACTGCATAGAGGAATCCTGATTTCTTTTTTTTTTTTTCTTTTTAAAGCAAAGCTGACCTTTAACACAGAAAGAAGGGAAGAGCTCCTTCATTGTCACAGCTCTCTTTTAGCAGATGTCTTGTTGTATTGATAACACAAGATTATATAAAAAATGAATCTGAGTGTCCTGATGTGATTAAGTCTCATGCTGGTGTTTGTTTTCAGAGCTCTTTACAAAACCTCTGAGTCTGGTTTTGCTGTAAGATGCTGTGACTGTTCCTGTGATTTCACTTGGCCTGGTGAGAAATAGTTAAGGAGCTTTTGGTTTCTTGGGATTTGCATTTGAGTTTCCTTAGGGTAGATGATGTCCTGATACAGGGAGGATGTGACTCACCTCCTGGAGACAACTAAAGCCCTGGGAGTGCTGCTCCTTGGGGACCCTGGAGAAAAGGGATGGGCTCTTGGGCTGGGAGTCTGCAGGTAAGTGAGACATTTCAAAGCAATTCATTGCTCTTGCTGTGTTAAATTGCGTTGCTGTGGAATGCGCAGCTTTGTGGAGGAATATTTCCTGACTCACTTAGAATTTCATGAGCCAGGAGCCCATCCAGGATCACTTGTTTATCTTGCCTAGAAACCAGAACTGAGCTCTGCTGCATATTTAATTAGATGGAAGGAAGGCAAAGAATTTTTAGATAATCTTATCTTCTGCTCCTCATCACAGCCCTCATGTAAAAAGTTTGCATGGCATGCAAAACAGATCCTGATGGTAAGCCACTTGGGTTTGAGGACACCCCAGTGAAAATGGCTTTACAACATAATGCTTCTTTTGGTTGAATACTCCTTTGAATTCTTTTGTATATATGACTAAAAAAATTTGTTGTGTATTCTTATGAAAATCAACCAGGAGATGAAAACAGATGTGTGGAAACTTGGAGCTTCTGGAGGAATAAATTCTTTCTCTCCTGTGGCTTCTGAAAGCAGAAACAGAAGAACAGGTGAAGAGAATCTAAGTTTCTCATTGCTGTAATAGGCTGAAAATAGTCAGAACTAAGGGTCTGGGAATGACAATATAAAGTTAGTCAGAAATCAAAGAGCAGTGGATTTTATATTGTGGCCTTTCAGTTCCAGTCCTGCAAAGGTGTTTGTGTACGTTTAGGGAGGGGAGGATGACTGGTGGCTGCAGAGTCAGCTGTGAGAGCAGAGTCCAGGGTGGCAGAAGGGGTGTGAAGATGATGCAGAAGCTGGACAGAGTCCTGTGAGGCTTTGTGTTTAGTTTTCCTTCTTCAGTGTTGGCACCCGTGTGCAGCAAGTGTTACAACTACATATCACTCTCACACAGCAAACAGAAATGTCAAGAGTCTGCACCACCACCACAGCTGCGAACCATCCTCTCCTCTCTCTGAGCTAGCCTGCTCCTTTGTAACTCGGAAACCTTCAGATCTGTGCTCTCCCCTTGCAGCGAGGGTCAGAGGAAGCCTGGGGGACATCTGCACATCTAGTCAGCGTGTGAGCTGTTATCTGTACTGTCCACGGCTTGCTGAGGAGCTGGGGTCCTGCTCTCCTCCCGGCAGAAGGATGTGGGAGGAGGGTAAGATGGTGCTTTAAGCCTAGTTTTGCTAATTCTGCATCTCTGAACAAATTGGTATTGGTACACAACAAACTCCCTGTCTGTGAACTTAATGGTCATGAAATAATGGTTGCACTCTGCTAATGAGCCACTGATGGGTATCAAGCGATGGCTTGGTGAGGGGAGTGAAGGGATGAGCCTCACAGGGATGTTTAGTAACCTGGGCAGGGGGGATGTACATTACTGGGCTGGGCACAAAAACATCTCTAATGAGGACTAAGGCCATCAGGCTGCACACAAGGATACCTTGGTCCCAGAGCTTTCTGCAACTCTCTGCTGTTCAAGAAGAGATTCAAGATGCTCTGGGCCAGAGAGAGATCAACAGAGCACAAGGGAAAGCTTGATTTCCTAATGCAGTGGTGTATATAGCTTTTTATTAGCTTTCATGCACTGCAGTAAAACTCGCCCGGCATTAAGCATTCACCGTGCCAGAGAAACAAGTGAAATTCAGGAGCAAGTAACTGCCTTTGTGGTTTTGTGAGGACCTCTGTGTCTTTGCACTTCTAAATGCTAGCATAATAAATCCTGAAGTGCTTTTTTGCTCGCAGCAGAAGTGATTAATACAGCTGTTAGTCAGTGTGTCTTCTGGAGGAAACAATTGACAGCTCCTAGGTGGGTAAGCAGCAGAGGCCTGAAAACCCCACAATTTTCTCTGCATTTCAGAAACTAAGAGATAAATTTTTTTTTTTTTTTCTTCAAGTCCATAATCAGACACAAGGTAAAGACACTTCTGCAATGAGCATTTTGGAGAGTGCCTGTTAAAGAGAAGGTGCTCTATGCACAAGCCTGTGGGGTCAGGTGGCTCCAAGTGTGATGTGAGCATCATGACAGCACATCCCCTTTGCTGCCCCCAGCCCTCCTGCCCACACAGCTTGGGGAGCAAGGGATGCCCAGGGATATGATGACTCTTTTCCACTCAGCAGCTCCTCTGCAAGGTGAGAAGGGGGGCTGTGGGGATCCTCAGGGGTGCTGAGTCTTGTAAGCTTCATGATACAAACGCCCCTTTCCTCCTCCTCATACCCATCTTCCCCCAGGCAAATCCTGAGCAGGACACGTATGTCCTCAGTGACTTTACCAGGTTTCCCTTCTGCTTCTTCCAGCATAATCACATCCACTGATTTCTGCTTGTTTACAGCTGGAAGCTCAAACCACCATTTATTTTCTGTATGGGTTCCTAATCTGGAAATGGATCTAATTTGCTAAAGCAAATTACAGGCAAATTAAGCTAAACATATTGTGTTCTGACTGGATGCATTGTGGAGCTTTCAGGAATGAGGGAAAACTTCTTTCATTGCTGCGAGTTTCTTCTTCCCTCAGTATCAATAACTTTGTGTTCTCAAAAAAATACAAACCATCTCTATCAATGGTAAAGTTCTTCCTTGGGGCCAGGAGTCGGGTAGCTGGAGCTACATCTCTCTCACATCTTCCATCCTCTCAGCTCTTAAAGGATATCCTTGCCAACATCCTGAGCTCTATTCCCTTGCAGTTCCTCCCCTTACTTTTAGACACACCTTGATTATCTGTAATACTGCATTTGATAGTATTATTAAATAGTTCTGAAAATTTTCCTGTGGGCAACTCCTTCTTCCCTTTCAAATGGATTATTTTTTTTTCCCCCCTAGCTGTAAATATGCTTAAGGCCTTGTATGTCTGAGGAGAGCAAATACCCCACTGCTCCAAATGGGACAGATATTTTGCATTTACATTTCCTGACCCATCAGGGAGAGTTTTGTGCAAGACAGAGGAGAAATGTCAAAGTGATAAATAGCATTGGGTTTGGTCCATTCTCTGGTTAGAACAGCTGATGTTATGGAAAACATCCAGCACTGTGCAGACTTTGTGGAGATTGAATTCAAAGAGGGCCAATACTTTATAGGTACTGCTACATCTCTGTGACGATTTTACTGTCTGACAAACACATCACCTGAGGATTTTGACATAATTTATTTCTGAAAATATATTTCTTTGCCAGGGAAGTTTGCAGTCTGGATGTGAGACAGACTCCCCATCTGTATTTATAGCCACAAACATCACCTTTAGTTTCCTTTGACCCAAACACATTTATTCTGAGACAGGGGAAAGCTGGTCCTCTTCAAAAAGTCTGTTTATCACAACTGATTTGCAAGATTATTTTTTAGCTGAAAACAGCCAAGAGCTCTTTAGCTGGCTGTTATAATTAGCAGTCGCTAAGCCTATCTTTGGGGAAATACAGCATGGTGTCCTATTTTAGTCCTAACACAGGAAGGACTGAGAAAATGATGCTCTTGAGCAGCTCCTTGGGCCAGAGAGCCTGGGCAGAGCCCGGCTGGGCGTGAGCTCTGCTCGCATAGCTCAGGAGGTGCATCATTTCAGTAAACACAGGTGGTGAATTTACCTAGTCATCGTGACGCAAGCAAAAACCCTTGGCAGCTGGGGTGGACATGCACACTACTTCCTCCTTCCAGGAATGCATAGTTTTGTGTTAATAACTGCTAGAAGCAGCCTTCTGGGCTCCTGCTGCAGCATGCTCCCAGGCCGGTGGCCCGTTGCTGGCCGGGGCGGGATGCTGGGGAGACTGCTGTGGCGGCAGGTGGCTTGGCCGGTCCTGCACCCTGCCAGAGCCATCGGTGACAACGCGAAGGGCGCTCAGGACGTGTCTTTGCAGACGGCTAATCCAGGTGAGTAGAAAGGCTTTGGTTGCTGTTTTGTGCCACAGCACGGAGGGAGAGTGTACTTGGGAAAGGGCAAGAAAATACCCTGGTTCTGGTTACTGCAGTGCTGCATCTCCTGGGGTTGCACGTGCTCCCGAGACACGGAGCAAATTGAGAGCTCTGGCTAGCACAGTGCGCAGGGGTAAAGAGTTTTTCTTTCTGTTTTAAATAGTCCTCCTCCTGCAGTAACAAATGCAAACTGATGCTGCATGTCAGGGCACCTGTTAATTCAAAATTAATAAATAAATGCTGCTCCTTGTATTCAGCTGCCAGGTTTCCAGAGGATTGGTGCGTGTCCCCACATGTGCAGGGCTGGCACAGGTGGCAGACTGGCACCCCTCTACTCCCCCCGATGAGTCTATCCTCTTAGTGATGCATCCTACTGCTTGCTGCAGATCTGCTTCAGGCACTTGCTGATATTTCAAATGTAGCTCACCTGGTCTCACTGGCACTCTGTAAGAGAAATAGGAGAAACAGGAGATTAAATTTACCTGAGGGTCTGGGTGCCAAGATTTACGCCTGGGATTTCTTAGCCATTCACAAGTCCTGGCCTGCATGAGCAGGCCTGGGGCCAAGGCACTTCATGTAACTTCAGCATCCCGACACAGGCAGGAAGAGATGCTCCCTGTGCTCTGTTCTGTGGTGGCAGTGATTTCTTCAGCCATGCACCAGCAATCCAGCAACAGCCAGGGAGTGTGGGTCACTGAGACTGGGGGCCTTGTCCTGCATGCCCTGGTCACCCACAGGGCATTTCTGAACACCAGTCCCACGTTTGCAAGCACAGGGCACTGTAACCTAGCTTCTGGGATGCACCTACCTGGGTGTATGAGCAGTCCCAGCTACCTATAAGGTGTGCAATGCAGAACCCTATTTTTGCAGGGTCTCCCTGACACTGCTCTTTCCATGGCCTGTCAGCGGGCTTGTTTCCATCAAGAGGAGCAGGAGTCTCTTTCCCATTGTGCTCATGGTGACAGCATGCTAATGGCATCACCGTGGTAGTCTGGTGGGGTGTAATGCATCATCATTAGAGTACAGTAATGTGGTACCAGCTTGCATGAGAACAACCGCCAGCCTCCCACCAGGCTGTATTTTAACAGACCTCGTCTCTCCATCATCGCTTTTGGAAGGGGATGCTGTCGGGGAGTTATTAGTGCTGCTGGCAGTTTGTTTAACTCACTAGCTGGGCCATTCAAAAGCAAGATGTTAGCAGGGCGAGAGCATGCTGAGGGCTGGGGTGACTTCAGCCCTGCATCCTTCCCCTTCCTTCTTCATCAGGAAAGTTAGAAGAGATGGGTAGTTCAAAACCTACACAAACTAAAGGGAAAAAAAAAAGGCAAAACGAAATAAGCTGCAAATGTAACAAAGCATCTCACACCAGCTGCTGTGTCCTTCTGACATCAGAAAGCACATTTGGCTCTCACAGAATAGAAAAGTTCCATTCTGAACTTTCTATCCTTTTCCCACAGCTTTTTTCCTCTTCCCTTCTTTAAGCTTAGCTCATTGTTTTCTTTTATAAAATCTCTTACAGGTCACAGACCTTTCAAAAATGACAGAAGGCCTACAGATTTTGATAAAAAGGTGTTAGTATGGGCAGGACGCTTTAAAAAGGAGGAAATTCCCAAGCACGTATCGTAAGTAGGCCTGAATGGCGCTTTTGGATGCGCATGTACGGATCGAGACCCCAGTCTGCATTACCCAGAACTGTGCTCACATGGTGAGGGTTAGTGCTCCTCTGTGCTGATGGAGCCTGCTGCTACTGGTGTCCAAAAATAAGCTGAATTTTTGGGAACGTGAACTTTTTGTCATGCCCTGCGAAGTAAACTGGATTCACTTGTTTCAGACTAAGCTGAAGTTTCTTTTGCAAGGCAAGTGGCTTTGTAACTCAGAAGTCAACATTGTAAAATATCATCCACTTCGGATTTTTGTATGTTTTGCTAGTTTTTATTGATGAGCAATTAATAACGCTGCATAAATTTTTAAAGTAAGTTGAGGCTATACTCGGTATTGGTGACAGACATCTGCAACGAGTTCCTCATGTCTGGGCTACGGCTTAACCTCCTTGTCAAGGTATTTTGTTAAAGGATTGCCACTCAGTTTTTTTGACCTAATGCTTCCTGACTTGTGATATCCTGGAGGCTCTCTAGCTGGCCTTCCCCTTGCAGGTGTAAGTAAATCCACAGCTGGATACAACTTCATGAACGATGCTGCCACACTGCAGTCTCCTGCAAGCAGGAATTGTTGGATAAATGCCGTGAGTCACTCATGGAAGGTGGTACGGATTTCCCAGTGACGGCTGTGGCTGTTCAGTTGCTTGGGAAGCAACCCCGGGCAGATGGCATGGTTGTCCACTCCAGCTCAGGCTCAGGCTCCCAGCGCAAGCAGATGCTTGTGGGGCTGGTGCCCGCTGCCTGGCAGAGGGCTATGCTGCAGTGGGACCAGGCTGCAAAGCAGCACATGCAGCTGGGGTGGAGATGTGGCCACAGACCCAGTTGCCACTTGCTGTGCCTCTCCGCTGTGTGAAACCTGTTTGTTCCTCTTTGGCAAAATGTCATGCACGTGCTTTTATTCTGCTGAGAGTGGCATTGCCTGGCCCTGGTGGCATGGCCCCGGTGTCTCCTGGTGCTGTGCAACACCCCATGCCCTGCTCTGCAGCACCCAAAGCTGTGCCCCTTGTAATTCCATTATCATGATGAAAAGACTTTCCCCACTCTTGTCACTTTTCATGTGTTCACCCTCATATGCAATAAAAGAAGGCAGGAGACCATGATTTGTTATTCCTGTTGTTACGGATGGCTGTTGGGAGTAGCAATTCCCTACCTGTGTGGGTGGGTGGCTAAATCTTTCCCCCTCATATGCTAACTTTTTGAGTCCTCCTCAAAGCACGTCAGAAAGAGAAGGCTGAAGCACATTGTAGATTAACAGGCAGATGCTGGAAGACTTGAGGATTCATTTCTCGGTTCCCCATGATCTCATTTCACACATGCCACTGCAGCATGGAAACTCTGCTCTGTTTTCTGCAGGTCTGAGGTCCTCGATGCAGCAAGGAACAGTGTCAGGATAAAGGTTTGCTACATCATGATCGCACTAACCTTGCTGGGCTGTTTGGCCATGGTGATCACAGGCAAAGAAGTGAGTATTGTGTCTGGGTGAAGTGAACTGATCCATTTAATGTATATGTATGCTCTCTTTGTAAATAAGCACCTGGATGACAGAGAGATAGGTTTGCGAAGTCGTCCATATAAGCAATACTTGCACAGGATCTGTATCACTCCATTCTCTGGAGGAAAGGTTGGCATGGCGAAGAACAACTTGCTGGTTAATGTGTTCCTTCTGACCCACTTTGCCATAAACCCACGTAGTGCAATGCTCTCTGTATCATGGTATCTGAGCAAGAGGCTGGTTCAAAGGTTGTGGAGTAGCTCAGACAATGTCAATAGCACCTGGTCCTGCCCTGCATCCATGGGCCATGGCACTCGCACAGTTCTGCTTGCCAGGACTGTGTCCCACCATGGCTACCAAAAGCTGTCACTCACTTCTTCCCATCCCACAGGGAGGAAGGAGGCTCTCCAGCCTGACAGTGCAATTTTCCTGCTAATCAGAGCTGCAAATGCTTCAAATTTGGTAAAACAAGGAAAAACATTAATTTATGTCCACGTTAACTTGCAAAATATCAAAAAGGATGGTGGACTCTCAAAGCAAGTGGTATAAATCCAGGGAAATTTAGTGGTAGGAAATGTGTGCATGTGATGATTTTTGCCATCTCTTTTCAAGGCGGCTAAAAAGGATCACACGCTGCTGAGGATGAACATGGAAAAGAAGGCCAAATGGAGGGCTGAAGTGGAGAAAGATCAGGAAGCAGCTGTTGGGAAGGCACAGTGATTTGGAACAGCTTCATTTTAACAGCAGGAGATAAGTGAATTGCACACATGGCATATGTATCTGTCTTCATTTAACTCTTGGGAGCTTTTTCATTGAAACTCAGGGCAAAGACTTCACTGCTTAAAAACTGCTCCGTATGAACTGGGAAACTCCTATGGAAACTTCAACGGCTGCTTTCTGTGGCCTCTGGTCTTTGGCACCGGGTTCTGCTGAAATACAGAAATCTCATCTAAACTGGAAAGCGTGGGAAGGACGAATGAGGGCTCCCCAGTTCAGGATCAGCTTTTTGTGGTGCTGCTGATGCTCAGCGTGTCTGTGGGGCTGTCTCCTCGCAGCCAGGAAGGATGCAGCTCTATGTCCGGGAGCATCCCACTTTGTGCAATGCCGTGCAAACTCCCTTGGCCAATGGGACACAGGATGGGGGGAAAAGGAGTCTGAAATATGTTGCACAACCACTAAGAGGTCAATTATCGCTACGTCCAACCCTGCTGCCATCACTGTCCCCTCACCCGCCCCAGGCCCTTGTGGGATCCCATGGCCAGGGGAGAGGGGGGATATGAGCATAAGGAGGGGCTGGAAAGCTGGAGGAGTGTGAGCAGGCCCTGATGACTAATTTGGGCCAAAATGGGCTTTGGACCAGAGGAGATAGAGGTGATGTGCAGTGATAGCATGGACATATGGGGTTGTTTGGTCATTGTGGGGCAGCCCAGGGAACCCATGTCCAGAGCAGGGATCCTGGCCTGGACGCAGCTCTCGTTCTGTTGCATCTCACTGGTTTTGCTTTTTCATCTTCTGCTTCCAGTCATTGTCATGAAAGTTCTCCAGCACTTTTAGTTATGATTTTAGTCAGGAGTAATTGTTAATACATGGTTTGCTAAAACTGGATTCTTTTTAATCATCATAGTTCATTAATTCATAATAAAACAGCTGTCCAATTACATCTAAAACAAATACATCTCTTCACAGCTTCATTTAAAGTGTCACCAAACTCTCTGGGATGATGTTTAACAGATGGGAGAGATCCTAATGAAATATTGAAAGTTACATTTTCATGAAGTGATTAAACTTCAAGACAGGCCCCAGTTTGGACTTGTGGGTGCTGATGGTCTGAGCCCCCGTGTGTTGTTTGTAACCCCTGAAGACCCATAAGACAGGCCAGTGGAGCTGTGTGTGCTGCATGGGGTGCCAGGGGACATGGAGTGACCAAACCCAGCCATCTTACCCTGGCTGCCATGGGAGATGGAAACGCTGTCAAATGCTGTCACCACACTCAGCCTTTGTGCAGTGTCCTGAGCATCACACCCAGCTTGGCCTTGGCAAGGTTTATTACTTGGAGCAGCTGCCCTTGTGCTCTGGGGAGGTCTGTAAGTTCCATCTCAGGTCTCTGAGGTTTATTGTGTCAAAAATCACGGCTACTTATTGCTGGTGTGTCACTACACGAACAAGCTGCTGGCAAGGACAGGCTGGGGCATTGGCAGGCGGTCAGCAGTTGTTGGGACACTATCTCCTGTACCTATTGGGCAGCTTTCTCCCTCTGATCCTTCTTAGTAGCACTTTTCTCCACACTTCACACCCATTTAGGATGAGGAGCGTGTGTGCAGGGGGATGTTACATCTGTCACAGCTTGGTGTTTGCAGTCCTTGGTTCCAACTCACAGCCCCGTGCAGTACAATTCACCAAAAGTGATGTCTGCTCCCTGTGGTATTCCTCACAAAGCACATCTCAGGGAAGTGAAAATAATGGTCTAGGACAAGCACAGAGTGAACAAGTCTCTGCTCAGAAGGCACTTTTGCCTGTACAGGTAACATGGGCTTTTTCATTTTACATGACCTGCTTTTCTTGGTTGGTGCAATATGCTTCAAGAATTACCACAGAGTTAGTGTTTATCTGGGGATAAACTAAAACAGCTCTGTCAGACTCTTTTTTTTTTTTTTTTTTTTTATTCTTAAATGGCTTTTATGTGTCCTTTTTAAGAAGACACATAGAATCATAGAATTGTTTGAACTGGAAGGGGCATTAAAGATCATCTAGTTCCAACCCCCCTGCCATGGGCAGGGAGACCCTCCACTAGACCAGGTTGCTCAAAGCCACATCGAGCCTGGCCCTGAACATTTCCTGGGAGGAGGCATCCACAGCTTCTCT